AAAAAAAAACTCCCCCCTCCCCCTTTCCCCCCCCCCCCCCCCCCCTTAAGACTCCTAGATACGCCACTGGCTATGCACGATGAGAACTGTCCCAGGGCCTTCAAAGCTGCCATCTGCCTTCATGCTCCATTGCTTTCTTGGATAATTCCTGGAGAAAGAAACTTGGTCTAAAACTTCAATTTTAATGGTGTGCCAACTTCGAACTGACGTCTGTCTTCTGCTTTTCTCTGAAGTTTTAGGGCATTCTACCATCCTCAAACTTTTTCTTGTTTTTTTTTTCCATGCATTCTTCAATGCTTATCCTAATGCCTCACCATCCAATTTGCCAGCAAGGAAACACTTCTAAAATGCATTGCATTACCCAAAAGTCAATATTGCCAAATGATGGGTTTAAATGTTGAAGGCTCAATATTTCTACACTAAAGCAGCAGAAAGAGAAGAGATTGCAAAGGAAACTTGTTTGTTTAATTAAGTGGCAGCATCATTTTCTATCGCAGTCTAATGGCAGCAGACTGAGAGGCACTAGGCCGAAGCAGAAGCTGTTGTTACAGTGTGTTTCTGCCTATTTACTAGTGAAAGCGACACTGCCTCGACATCAGTTGTTGGATCCCCTCTTGCAAAAGCAATTGGGTCCTCTGTTAGTATATTCAGATTCAGATGATTACAGAGAGGCAGATTTAGGTCAACCATGGTGTAAGGAAGATGTAACAAAGATACATATACAGTATAGCTTTAAGCCGTTGAATAGGTCTATAATAGTTTAAACTCGTTAAATACAATAGATGGTTTACCAGATTCTTCTTATAGGTTTCAGTTTGATGTACGTCCATCTACCAATACATTTTGCGAGCTGTTTATCTACATGACATATGAACTTTTTGGAGAGGACACCTTTGACTTATCGACGCTCGCTCGCTTCATTCTGACAGTGAGAAACAGTTACCGGCCCGTGCCTTACCACAACTTTGAGCACGCATTTACAGTGACGCATTGTATGTACTGCCTCCTGCAAGCAACTCAAGGTCTTTTCTCCGATATAGAGGTGATAATATAATAATATTAAGTATGATTTCGTTATATATTGTTTTGTTAGGACTGAATAAATACATGAATTATTGTCAAGAACAAATTAAACTACTGTACATATCCGGAATCCCACCGCCCACACGCAAATGTGCCATACTCCTTTATGCAGTGTCACACATTAATTCTGTTGCCTCTGGATTAATGTCATAAATCAAGCCAAATTTGACAAAAGTAATTGTATTGATCTTCATAATATTTAACAGATGCAGTCACTGTTCTTTGCCTGTATCTGCCATGATCTGGATCATCGTGGCTTCACAAACACCTTCAACCAGAAGTTTGAAACTCCTCTGGCTTCCCTGTACGCTACGTCCACGATGGAACAACATCACTTTAGCCAGACTGTGTTCATTCTGCAGTTAGATGGTCATAACATCTTCTCGCATCTCCCCAACAATGTCTATAAACAGGTAAAAAACAGTTGGTCATTTCTTATATTGTTCTATAGCAGACTATAGCGGCTACACCTTTTAGTTTTTATTCAGAATCCTCAGCTTGGATAACCGACACAAAGGTCTGTAGATTTATTTCCAGTGTGGTGGGAAATTTACCCCTCCCGCGTTGGAAAGGCCTGGAACCCTGTCTTCTGACACAAAATCAAGGTAGTCGGATCAAAAACATTAATTTGCCTATCCAAATACAGTAGACTGTACTAAGTACTAAATATAAACTCTACCTTTGAACCCTGTCAGTTCCAGAAAAGAATAACTCCTCTCCATTAAATCCTTGTTATGAGACTTACTTTTTGTAGAGTCTCATATCTCTTTGTTTGTCATTTGAAGGGATATCTAAGCACAGTGATTGAAGTCACAATTGGTAATCCTCGGCCTTGTTCCTAAAGGAATAAACTAAAAAAAAAAAAATTTTCTGACAAATATTAAGCCCTGGTATTATATTTTGTATGCCTTTCCCTTTCGTTTTTATTTGCTGTTCTGTATTTACAAAAATAATCTTGCAACACGTTTCACTTTCAAGGTTTCTGCTATTAAATTCTTTTGATAGATGCTTGGTCATATCCGACATAACATCTTGGCAACTGATCTTGCATTGCATTTTGAGAATCAGAAAGAGTTGGCTAAGATATGCTTAACGGATAATCTATGCATTACCAACCCAAAGCACAGGTATGGCAATCACAGTGGAGTTATAAAAATGATAATTTGATTGAAATACTAAATAATGACTATGAAATATATTTTGACAGTTACAGGTTATAGCTAAGCATAATTTTAAATGGTCATGGCTTTTTAGTTTAGTTTATTCTTTATTTATGTCACACTCTTAAACAAAATAAGACCAGCCAATTCTGGTTTAATTATGAGTTATACAGTTAAAATACAAGATAAAAAGGGGGAAATACTATATAATAATACATTAGCAATAAATATAACATCATAAAGCTCAAAATAAAAAAAAGTATTAAATGTGTGATATTAAAAGATAACAGACCTCTGATTTGTTAAGACCATAACACCAACAATTTTTTCTCTCTTCTTTCCCTTATTTCCTTAAGAGTATACTTTGAAACAAAATGTTACTTTGAAATGATGTTAATATTAATGTTTGTTTGATATAAGCTTCGTTCACATTAAAGCCCGGATCCTGTCCGGTGCCCGGACAAAAAATCGTGAAAAACGAGTTCAGTGGTAAAGAATAGGACTGTTCACATCAAATTTGTACGATTTCTATTCTGCACTCCGGATCGAGACTGATAGATCTGAGACCCATTTGTATTGTGAAATCGTACGTTTTTTTTTCCCTTGGACCAATCAGCAACATACTTGGTTGGTTTGAACCAATCAAACGCATATACTGTACGTACTTAACCCGAATAACCGTGTTCCGTGCGCGTTGTGAATGCAGCGTTCAAAAAATGTTGCAACAAACGATTTTTTTCCGGGATCCGGGCTTGATGTGAACGTAGCTTTAAATTGATTTTAGAGGTCACTTACATTCGCTGATGATGACGGCTTCAGACTTGTCTCTATCTGCCAAGTACTGGCCGGTACAACGGGAGACAGTAGATCACATCTACGAAGAATTCTACCAACAGGTAAATTAGGTCACAGGCCTGAATTCAGACTCAAATATAAAAAATCTATTTTTTAAAACTCCGTAACCAAATTGTGTTGGGTGGTTATTGTGAATAGTTCACCGACTTAAAAATCTGGCAGGCATGCATTGGGCAGAGTTAGGTAATTTTTCTCTTTCGGTGTGTGACACAAAAAATTAACCTCTACTCTTTTTGAAGGATATTTCAAGTTTCTAAAGTGCACACAAGCCAGTGCTTATTCAAGAATTGAGTCCTGAAATTGAGAAAATAATGAGAGACGAACAAGATCCAATGCTATGCTATATGGTTGCAGATATTAGGGTTACTTCAATAAAGCTGGGCATAAATTGATCACTACACCCAACATGATTCTATGGAGAATATAATATCATGACATGTGTGCAACGGATAGTTT